TGTGGTTACTGGTGAAGTTGCTGCACTCTACACAAATCGTTGAATCAGTGCAAAGTGCGGTATCATTTGGGTAAAAACTTGTCCGGATGGAGCTCATCACAAACTTGACTTATCTTTTCGCGTCAGCACCCTCAGCTTAACAATCCACGATCCTCAAGGAGTCGTGACTCACCCTGCTCCTTGCTGCTCCCTGTGAGTTAGGAGTGAAGATGTGTAAATCTCCCTCCTCGGTAGGTCATTTGGTTGCCGCTTGGCGAGGTCGTTGTCGGTTGCCCTCGGATTACTGCATACCGCATTTCCGTTGCGTTTGGACTGGTGAGGTTGCGGACGTCGTAGTGCTAACGCTGTTACCGTGATGACAGTTGCCAAGTCGCACGAACGAAGCCAACATGCAGTCAATGAACAGTAAAGACAATCAGCCCCACGAGCATGAAACGACTCCGTTTACACGAACAGAGTCAGCAAGGGAGAATTGGGTTTCAGTGCTGTAAGTCAGGCACTCTTTTGGTCCGGGTCAAAGGTATAAGAGTTGTCCGCACTCGACACGAATACGGAGCGGTCGGTGCTTCGAGAGGTGACAGCTGACAGACAGACCGAGCGATCGAAACCAACAGAGCCGGCAAGTGGAAAGACAAGCAACGCCGCCGACACAACAAGGCGCTCACATTTGTAAAGGACAAAGTGAACCGACCATAGATGATCCAAACAACTGCGAAGGAATGATGAGCGCGAGCCAATAAACTCAAGTAGATGATCGGAAAGTGTGTTCAGTGAAGAGGGATTAAAATTTATGTACAGTATAACATGATACTGTGTACTTTAATAACCGAGTTGGATCGCTGCGCAGTTTGTACTTTAATTTTTGAACGGCTGCTTCGACAGTTACATTTACACCTTCAGTACAGTTGAATATATGAGCGAGGTGCAACAACTCATCCACTAGTTTCTATAAATTTTCACGTAAGTGCACCCCATACGAGTGCGCTTTCAGGGTATTGGAATGCGTAGGAAACGTTTCTGACCAGTACACAACGACCTCAGTAAACTGTCACCTATTGGAGTGTAAATCAGAGTATCTGAATGGTTTTCTGACTCTCGTAGTTGGTAACGTCTATGTAGCTCCAGACACAGCGTTGTCTGAGCTGCAAGAGTTTGAAGACCACCTTACCTTGGAGTTGTAACAAGAATTGGAATATTCCACCTGTGTTCTCGCACGAGAATTCAATAGAAGTGACACAACTTTCATCAACGTCATGGGTTTAGTCGATTTGGTGAAATTCCCCACAAGACTCGAGGCATATTTATATTTAGTCTTTGATAACAAACTCGAAATATTTTTTACACAAAAACGTGCATCTCTCGTCAATTTCGACCACTGCATAGTAAAACAATGCCCCAAGCTATACGGTAAAACTAACTAGGTTGCGCTGACCAAAAGACCATCCAGGACTGTTAATCGACAGAAGATCGCAGTAGATAACATCGAAAACCAAATCAACGCTGTCTTTAACTGCCTTTTCAATTTTCATAAATGATGATTTGTCAGATCAATGCGAGCAGCTCACAGACAACATAAACGTCTGTTTTGATCTGTGTGGTCCCATTGAGACCATTTATTTGCGAAATGACAGATTTTCATCTCCATTGCTCAAGCAACTGAGGAGGAAAATAGAACAGGCTTGCAAACATAGGCTAACTGCTCGTGTTAAACATCTGTCTATACCTATAAAAGTAAAACAAAATGCTTAAACCCTCTTTACATTCAGACCGTTTTAGACAACCACACTTGCCGTGACCTATGGATTCTGCTAGAACAACTCTCCGGAAAGAATTCTTTCATAACACTTATCAACGAGGATGAACTCAACGCTAAGTTCAGCTTATCACCACCTAACAAACACCCCTTGCCTTCGTTCACCACTACTCAGAATTAGGCGAAGCCTTTACATTGGCCGTCGCCTTTTCATTGAACATCATTTTTACTTTGTCTACTCTTGGTATAATTAGTTTTATAGGAATAATATGACATTATTTTTCCTTCAAAGTATTTCCAATGGCAATGAGACTGATATGTCGAATACTAAGCCCGGATACTGCGCATTATCAGCGGGCTGTTAGTTTTGGCCACCAACATTGAAACCAGCTAAGAGAAAATGTTCTCTGTCGGCAGGATAAAAATATCAGGATTCTTTTTATCAGTATGCACTCAGTGCTCAAGAATACAAGCGCTTTTACTTGAGTGACACCAATGCACCCTTTTCCCTTTTAAGTATCCAAATATAAAATTTTGCATTTGTCAACTTGTCAGTTTACTTAATCCGCAGTTGTTACGGTATATTGCTGAACAAGCGCTCTCTGGGCGCATAAAGCTTTCTTGATTTGAATTGACTTGAATTTAATTGCTTCCGAAAGCAGTTACCAGGAGCTCAAAAGCCTGAAGCTCATCAAGGCTAGTGGACCGCATACATTATCAACAGTCGCTCTGAAACAATGCGCAGACGTTTTAACAGTACCTGTGATAGAAGTCTTGAATCGGTGCTTAACGACGGGTACCATTCCCGACATTTGGAAATCAGCCAGAACAACACCAGTGCCAAAAAAGATTTCGGTAATGTCGGCCAATTGCGTGCACCCCAGCGCTGCTAAAGATATTGGAAAAGCTGCTGATCCCTTAGATTTTCACAGGCAATCATATTGATGCTGTCAAACAGTCTGTTTATAAACCAGGGCGCTTTACACTGGACGCTGTTTCTTATTTGGTGCATTCCATTGCGTTAGCGTTGGACAACAAATACAAGACCGTTCGACTCCTATTTCTTGATTATACCAACGATTTTCGTATCATTGATAGTTTGTCTGAGAACGACGTCCCTCCTTGTGTGTGTAATGTGATGCGTGATTACTTCACATATCGAACCCACTACCAGCGAAGACTGAAGATGCTGGGGAATTTTTTCGGACGCTATCGAAGGCTGCGCGGCGATCTCATATTAACGTAGCTCAGGGGTAACTGCTTAAAATTGAAGGAACAATATAACCGTCTAGAGTGTCGACGTAATTACTTTTCCCTTCAGGTTTGCCAACCCTGGAGCGCACTCCCAGACTCAGTTGGATCCTCCCTTACCTTGGACGTTCACAAAAAACCACTAGATGTTGCTCTTAGCATCCAGCATTTTGGTACCTCAACTCTTCTATCGTGAATTACGCCAAGTATACTATTCTACAGGATTTATGTATCAAGTGGAACCAAGTGAGTGACCATATTTTACTTTTCTTGCGTCTTATATAATCGATCACTACACTCCAGTGTATTTCTGAACGTGTACGCTCGATTTTTTATATTTTACACTGATGTAATTTATCAGACTATTTATCTAGGCAAATGTTCGGTAGATGGACCAGATATATTTTGATTTCATCATATTCACCCCAACCATCCTACGGGACGTGTCAAGCACTTGCGTTTATCACTTGATAAATTATTGTTCATTGTTTATTGTTCTGTACTCCCACCCAATTGTGGTATTTTGCAGGGAGCGATCCTGTCCTTCTTTCTATCCACCGCCTACGTTGAGAACCTCCCTATTCCATCAACGTTCATAGGCTGTAAGTATACTGATGACGTTGTCCTGGGATGCATAGCCCCAATCATCGAGAACTCCTTGAAACTCCAAAGATGCTTAGATGAACTAGTGAACTGGTTCAGCTCCAGGTCCCCCCTCTCTCAACGCTTCCAAGTGTTGTGACGTAACGTTCTGTTTTCTGCATCCCAACAGACAGTAGTCCCTTGTGCACATCTCTCCTCCTATGATTGTGATTAACCAAAGCATACCCCGCACATCTACCGTAAAATATCTAGGAGTTTTTCCATCTCACAATTTATCTTGATCTACACATGTTCTTGAAACATTTAAAAAGTTGAAAGACTCTCTTTTTACGCCCTCAGAATTAAAATGCTTTCCGTTCCCCGTACTTTAATTTTACGACTTGTGACTGCATGTGTTCTCTCTTACTGCTTAAACCGTTCCCCGGTTATTTTTCCAGGACTGCTTCAAAAAGATTATGCCATTGTCTGTTCGCTAAACTGTATTTCTCGTTGCTCCGGATTAGGGAAAACACGCTCATAGATTTTATTGTTAACCGACATTTCGATGTGTACATCAACAATTCATCCAAAATCTTAACTGACTGCTCATACGCTTTACACGATATTCTTGTCAGCAGTACATCTACTTCGTCTACACGGACAAAATTTGAAGTTTTACATTCTCGTACCTCGTCGTATCGTAACTCAATACTGCCTATTCTATCACGCTTACTTAATCGACCCAACAGAAGTGGAATTCCGCTCGCGCGACTGCATGCTTGCATGAAGATGTCCATTTTCCTTTACTACTTTTAATTTTGATTTCTCAGTGATTCTTTGTTATGTACTAAGCCGCAGTGTTGATGTACAAATGCTGAAAATGCACTCAGAAGGGTGGAAAAGGTAATTTGACTTAACCTTAGTTCGGTTGAAACCAAAAAACCCAACTGTGCTCGCTCATGTTACTTTTGCGCATTTGTCTACAGCGATGTGTGAGTGGGATAGGCCGAACTAAGTTCAGGGAATCGTTCATCGCATTTCAGTCACTAACCCCTGTAGTATAAAGAGAGCACCTGATGCATGTGGCTTGGCCTTCACTTCACTGTATCCAAGCAAACGTGTTGATAGCTATCTTTTGATGTATGTTCACCCTGTACCAGCACGAGCTCCGGTTTCTAGCCAACAGCGATACTGTCTGTTAGAACTACACAGTGAATCCATGTTACTGAGGAGCAAAACGTTAAATCCATCGTAAAATCCTGAATGCGATTTTATGGCAGTTCAACTCTACTGCAACCTCTACTTTTGCTGCAAAGAGAAGAGCCAGCAGGTTACGTTTTTGTAATGGAAGGTGCACCAATCTCACTCTTCTCATCGAAGTGATGTTTGATGAAATTGCACTCTGAAATCTCACCTTCGTTGTGAAATGACCAAATTCATGGACAATCTGAACTTTCTCTCTAGAGCATTCAAGTGTGGCGTAACTAGTGTTTGTGACAATGCCCGTTTCGCTTGTTCTCCATGCATGCCGAAACAACATGATGGGCTGGACCATTTGATTGCCATCCGAATCACTCAGCCTTGCCGGTTCGGCCACCAATATAAGCAGCTCAGCAGGTTCGTCCACTTCAGCGCGTAGTGCAAAAACCCCGTGCAGGAACGCGTTTGTCGTGGAAATATTATGAGCTATTGTGTTTTGCAGATTCACATCAAGCTGCATAGCAGAAATGACGGTAGCAATTAAAAGGCTGAACGTGCATCATATCGAGCAAATATAAGAGAAGAGTATTTGGTTAAAAGGAGAATGAAACAAACTTCAGCCGGAGTCTAGATAGCGCGACGCATTCAGTGGACTGGGCTGTAATCTTGTGCTACTCCCAATGTGCACTGTTTCACGGTATTTTTACTGGGACTACGCAAGAAATTTCTCAACCTAGCTAAGACCGAATTTCTTCAGGTGGAAAGAAATATTAGTTTGTTCTTGTATTGTATTGCTAGTGGAAATAGAGCAAAAACCCACCCTATTCAACTGCACCTGCCACCGAGTACGCTTATTGACAAAATAATTGCCTTCATAAATGAAATATTTAACAACAGCAAGCTGTGTTGGACCGGTAGGTCATCCGATAACTAAAAACTGTTTCTACTCCGTCAATGACATCCAATCCCAAGTTCAGCCTAGCCCACCTTCTGTTCAGTGTCGAGTAGCCATCAAAGAGCCAAAACAAAGTGGGGACAACGATCCAAATCTGTTATTTATAGAGCAAAGCAGTGTTCATACTGTATATAAGTGGGGGACGCTATTTGGTCACGGTTCCTCATACTGATTAATCTCGATTCTTTGCGTCTTCCGCAGTTCGTCTGTTTTCATTGCTCCGTACCTTCCGCTCACTCCGACCGAACATTATTCCGTCTGTGTAGTCCGTCTTGATTCATGCTTGGACGAGCTAGCCCTGATTTGTCTCTCTGACCAGCGCAACAATTGGTCCGCTCGCTGCTCTTCCACCAATTCTTTTCGCCGTTGTTCGTAACTAAGTTGCACTTTGTCCCCTCTAGATTGACGCAATCCTGATTCCTCTCTCTTTGCTGTGTCCACGAGTGATCATCAGTTTGCGTCGACAGCATCGACTGATTGCTCTATTCCTGCCCACAACGCGTTGGTGGTTTTCGCTCAAACAATCATCACCTCGTTTCTATCTTCGTTTTTTGTTGAACCAGTGAAGAGCAAGCCGGGTTTCGTCGAGGTCGTGGCTGCATTGACCACATCTTCACTTTGCGTCAGTTGTTGAAGCACCGTCACGTGTACTGGCAGCCCAACTGTTGTCGTGTTCCTCGATATCAAAGGTGCCTTCGATTCGCTGGATGGACGTGCACTTTGCGACGGTCTACACAGGAAAGGTACGCCCGAGAAATATGTAAATATTATCCGAGCATTATATGCGCGTAGCTCGGGCAAGTTGTCGTTGCCCATTAATATCTCCAGCGGTGTGAGACAAGGATGCCCGCTGTCACCTTTCCTATTCAACTTTGCTGTTGACGAAGTCATGGAAAGCGCGTTCACAGGACACGACTTAGAATGTGTGGAGCTACTTCCAGGAGAACGACTTCTTGACTTAGAGTATGCTGATGATATTGTCCTAATCTGCGACAGCTCACAAACGTGCCAAGCGGCACTGGACAGATTAGCACTAGCTGTCCGTCACTTCGAGCTTTGCTTTGCACCATCGAAGTGCAAAGCGTTCCTCCAAGATTGGTCTGGACCGCCACCTACGCTGACCCTTGGTGGGGATCAGGTAGAAGTCGTTCAGAAATTCAACTACCTATGAAGTTGTATCAGTGCCCGTAGGATTGAGGATGAGATCACGAACCGTATTGCAAAAGCTCGAGGCGCTTTTGCTAACGTTCGCCACTTATGGCGCCGGCGCAACATCACGCTTGCCCTGAAGGGTAGAGTGTACAATGCAGCAGTACGTTCGACCCTACTGTACGGTTGTGAAACCTGGCCGCTTAAAGCAGCGGACCTGAAGAGGCTAGTTACGTTCGACCATCGGTGCCTTCGTAATTTAGCTCACATTTGGTGGGAACACCGCGTGAGCAACGAGCGTGTTCGACGCCTTGTTTATGGCACAGGGAAAGGAAATGAACCGCTCAGCACCGTTATTTCACGCATCAGGCTCCGATGGCTCGGCCACGTGTTACGCATGCCAGCCCACCGACTTCCGCGACGTATGTTGTTTGCGCGCCGGGGGTGTGGATGGAAGAAGAGGAGGGGTGGCCAAGCGATGACTTGGTCGAGAGGAATGAAGGCCCTCACTTCTGAGCTGGCCTCGGTTAGAGCGTCTCGGCTCCCTGGTTAGGGTCCGAAAGACGATGAACACGTTTGGTTGGACACACTTGCTGATATGGCTAGGAGCCGACCTCAGTGGCGTTCGTGCTATGAGTTTCCTTGTCCCACCCCATGCCTCTTAGCCTCCCCCTCCAACCACGATCTCATTATTTAGCCTTATATAATTTTGCATAGTAATTTTTTGATGCACAGCAGCCGGCTGGTAGCTTACCGGAACGATGCCCATCCGTTACCGGTAGCTCAGCCAGCTTGCACCAGTTGCATTTTTTTCTCCTTTTTTCTATGTATTGCGGCACAGTAGCTGAGGTGTTTCCCACCTCTAGCTAACGTGTATAATAATGATGGTGTTGTTATGCGCTTCATATGATTTACCACTGCATGAGACTTACAGGCTTTGGGGTACAGTGGCAAACGGCTGGTCCCTCTGATTGCTGCTAATTCTCTTGTTATAAAAAACGTTCCTGTTGTTTTCTTCTGAGCAGCACTCGATTCCTTCGAACGATGTTGTTCCCGACCTTGATTTCACAACGCTTCTCCCCATTTCAGTCCTCAATCACTCCGCTCCTCACATGGCTATCCAATCCAAATATCGGTTTCAACCACACTTCGTTTTCCAATGCTATCGGTGGAAGGTGTCTCCATCCACTAGCATAACAAGCTTTCTGCCGTAGCAGCGGATGAGTTGCAGCACATGACTAGTGCTCTGGCTTCGACAGCGGCCAAATTCGGGCTCACCATCAACACAAGCAAAACTGTCTGTCTCTTTCAGCCTTCACCGGAGGTGCAATCTTCAATATTGCCGCAAATCAGCATTGGTGCTGAAGTATTGGAAACCACCTCCCGCTTTTGCTACCTTGGGAGTGTGATATCGACTGATCAGCAGCTACACTTTGAGTTGCGTAATCGCGTGTCGAAGGCGGCAGCGGCATTCGGGAAGCTTGAGTACCGAGTGTGGAACAACCAACAGCTTAGCATTGGCACGAAGCTGATGGTGTACAGATCCATGGTGTTGTCTGTTCTTCTATACGGCAGTGAAACGTGGACGATATACCGTCGGGATGTGCGATATCTCGAGCGGTTCCATCAGCAGTGTCTGCGACGAATTTTGCGGATCGGTTGGGGCGCCAGAGTTGCAGACACGGAAGTGTTGCGCCGAAGTGGGATGTATGCAGTGGACGGCATACTTTTACTGAGACACCTGAGATGGCTCGGTCATGTGAGCCGTATGGATTCGACGCGAATACCGAACCAACTTTTATACGGTCAGCTGAGTATAGGGAAGCGGCACGTGGGGAAACCAAAGTTACATTACCAGGACATGGTTAAAGTGGGCCTCACACGTTCTAATCTTGATTGCAGATCACGGGAATCGAAGGCGGTTGATCGTGGTGCATGGCGCGATCTAATCACGAAGGCAGTTGCTGAAGTGCGGGAGAAAGCCCTCATGCATGTAGAGAAGAAGCGGCAAGTGCGGAAGCGGCAAGCACCAATGAATCGTACTCCATCGACATCGAACGCATTGTGCTGTAGAACATGCGGTCGCGAGTGCCTTAGCCAGGCAGGCCTAGTGAGCCATGAGAGAGGTCACTCGGGACCACTGCCAAAGCGACGACGGGTCCCGCAGTGAACGTAGGCAGCACCGGCGCAGCGTTTGTAGGCACGCTGAATTCGATTTACTAACCGCATGCTTGCATGCTAAGTCTCTTTATTTCAGGTGGTGGGTTTTCGGTTCTCTCCTAATGCCTTTCTTTCTCATATAAATGTCTAGCGGGCCATGAGCTGTGCCATTTAGGGACACTACAGAAGCGACGACGGGTCCTGCAGAGAATTACGGTGAGCCAGCGCAGCGTTTGTAGGCACGCTGAATTCGATTTACTAACCGCGGGCTTGCATGCTAAGTCTTTTTATTTCAGGTGGTGGGTTTACAGTTTTTACCTTAATGCTTTTCTTTCTCATATAAATATCTCCCTGTACTCTATTCCATTAACTTGCACACATCGCTTCAGCCAATTGTATTCGATTTCCACAACATTTTTGTGTTCGCGGAATTCCGTGAACTATACTTCCTGACCTCGTGCACTTAGCTAGGATCTGTTTGTAAACAACTTATTACATATGCTATTTACTTAAGGTTTATATCACCGTTTCCTTATGCATTAATCGAGTTTTTCTCTTTTTCTTTCTCTCTCTCTCAAGTGATTGGCTGTTGTTTGATATCCCCGGTGCGGCTGCGCTTGATGTGCATGTTGACAAGGTGCCTACCTGTCTATTACCCACTACCTCGTTCATACTGGCTCTAGGAGACAGTCGGTCGTTGCTGGAGGGGACAGGGTGCACGGTCCTTGTGGCCGTGATAGACTCGAAGAGTGGTTCCATGCACTCAGTGTGTAGCGGACTACGGTCCAGCCACCGCCTTGTGTGCGCTTGATTCCCCAAATACAGCGTGCTTGTGTTTGCCTGTGAAGGAGTGTGGGCCGGCTCCGTTGATGAAACGTGGCTTCCATCCACATGCCTCCTTGTCTTATTCCTTCGGGTTTACACTGGATATGGGGTGTGTGGTTGGAGCTGTGGGTAGTGCAGCGCAAGCCACCTATGGTCCCTCTGTAGGCGCAGGCGTCCTGTGGCTGGCCACAATGACAGGCGAATCCGAAGCTGGATGCCGTCATCCATGTTTGGTCGCAACCTTCACTGAATAAATATTATTGCGCGTTATCGTTTAAAGCACTGATGAGACAATACGAAATGCGTGCATTTGCCAGCCTTCGTCTTCTTACTGCCCTTTTCAAAGATGTCAATGTCTGAGCAAGGATTCTGAGCAGAATCGAGCAAAACTCTGAGGTTAGGCTGCAAGAAGTGACCAAAGAGTG